CTCACCTCAACCGCCTCGCGCTCCACATCCGCTTCGACGCCCTACTACAGCTCGCCTCCGCAGCAGCAAGACGGGGAGATCGCCGAGGTCGATCGACTGCAGCCCGCATTCCGCCAGCGCACGCTGTCGAACCCCCAGTCGGGCATGCCGCCGTCGATGTCGCGCGAACGCGCGCTGACAGACCCCGCTACACGCGCGGGCATGGGCGAGCGGCGCACGTCGTCGCGCGCGCCGATGCCGTTCGGGTACAGCGCGGCGTATGCGAGCAGCGCGGCGAGCGTCGCGAGCACCGGGCAGCGGAGGGAGGAGAGCCGGGAGCGGCGGAGGGGCACGCGCCCGCCGAGTTTCGCGCTTCGGCCGGGCGTGCGTCCGAACAGCTTCGTGGTGCCGCATGGGGGGTACTTCCCGCCGCCTGGGCCGTACTACCACCCGAATGGGAGCCAGAGCGCTGGAGGGAGCCCGAGAGGAAGCGTGAAGGACCTGACGGCGGCGGCGAACGATGGCCGCAGTAGCCCCAATGGGTCGCCGATGCAGAGTGAGAGGCGGCGGTCGCGCCCTCCGAGCTTTGCGCTGCCGTCGGGGGTGAGGCCGTCGAGCTATGGGATGACGGTGCCGGGGCCGTGGCAGAGCGGGGGGTATGCGTTGCCGCCGTTCGCGCAGGGCTTGCCGCCGCCTGAGATGGTGCCGTATTTCCCGCAGGAAGGCGCGGAGGGGATGCCCCCGCCACATTGGGAGGGGTGGCAGCAGTATCAGCAACAGTATCAGCAGCATTATCAGCAGCAGATGATGCAAGCGCAGGGCTCGCCGCAGATGGTACCGCCGCAAAGACAGGGCTCACCGTTGCAGAGACAGGGATCGCCGGGGCTGGGACAGGTGCAGGGGAATTTGGGAAAAGAGATGATTGCTGGCGAGCAGCAGAATGGCGGTGGGATCCCGGCGTCGCTCAGCAGGAATGGAAGCGCGCATAATTCGCCGTTGCGGGCGACAATACATTCGCTGGATGGTGGTGAGCAGATGAGGGAGGGGGGGAGGGGGGGCTTGCCGTCGATGCCGCCTGCTGCTGTGATGTTTGACGATGCGAGGGCGGGGACGCCACCGATGGTGGGCGTGCCGTCGGCGGAGGAGGCGAGTGTGCATGCGCACAAGCCGTCGCGCGCATATGGTGGTCCTCCGCTGTCTCCGTCTGCGTATGCGTATGGGCCCGCGTTGTCTTCACCATGCGTATCTCTCCCGACGCGCTCTCTCTGGCCCACTGCGAGCCGTTTACTCCGCTTGCTGCACATTCCATTCGCCGCCCAATC